ATCAATGGTCTATTTTACCTTGCCACTCCACAGTGAGACCAGGGCCTTGGCAGGATTGCCAGAGCTATCTAGTAAAAAAACCCATAGAGGAATTCACTGTATTCTGTGAGTTTCAGAGAAGATTTGCAGTGGTACCTCTACTTACGAATGCTTCTTCTATCGAAAAATTTGACTTACGAAACGCGCCTCCCTAAAAAATTTGCTTCGACTTAAGGAAGTGTTCCAACTTACGAAATTGGTGCGAACAAGCTGCTCTCCGAATTTTGTGGCATGCCATTGGCTAGCGAAATCTAGCAAAGCAGCACTGTATTGGCTAGTGAAAGAGGAAGTGTTTGCCTAGCGAAATTCAGCAAGCAAGCTGCAAAGGAAGGAAGGAAGGAAGGAAGGAAGGAAGGAAGGACAGCAAACAAAGAAGGAGTCATGGAAGAGAGATGCAAGGAAGCAAACCCTGGGCTCTGGGTCGGGGCACCTGCAGGTGTTGCTGCTGTTGGCGTTTGCCTTCCTCGCCCTCCTTCCCTCCTTCCCTCATCCCTCCTTCCATCTCCTTTTCCCGGGACTCACAGCCAGTTGTTGGCGTTGGCGGAGAAGGCGGCGAAGATGATGATGAGGAGGGAGCGGAGGAGGGAGCAGCCGGGGCGGGGGGCCATGCCGCCTTCCTCCCTCCAGGGCCTGGCTCCCTCCTCCGGACCCAGGAAAGGAAAGGCGAGGCCAGGCCAGGCCAGGCCAGGCAGACACGGACGCCAACCCCTGGGGGAGGAGTGTCACACCTCGGACACGGCCCACGCCAGCCCGGGATCTGTACTTTCCCACCCACACCCCCGCCCCGCCCTTGGACCCATGCGACTTTGGTACAGGGCATGACAGAGGAGGATCTTTCTCTCAGGCTGAGAGAGTGTCACTCTACCCAGGGGGGCCTGGTGACCCTGTCCTAGGGTCTTCTTTGCAAGATTGGTTCAGAATTTTGGTTTGGGCTTGCGAAAGAGGAGAGGAAGTGTCTCTAGCAAAATTGGTGGCTTCTAAGATCCAGGAAGGTAGGACTTGTGGCTTTTGAACTCAAGGACTGTATTTTTGGCTTGAATCTGGGGGCCTGGAACGGATTAGAGCATTTCAATGTTAAATTTGCTTCTACTTACAAAATTTCCTACTTACGAAATTTTCTACTTACGAAATGGCTGTTGGAACGAACTAATTTCGTAAGTAGAGGTACCACTGTATTTGAATTGATTCCCACCGGTGCAGGGAGAAACTGAAGATGTATGTCCAGATCTTATCAAGAAAAGGTCTGACTTTGGTAAGGGTACTGCTCCCTCCCTCTCCACGCATCTCTTCACGCAGAGGAAATATTATATTGAGAATAAATCCTGCTCTTTGCCTAGGTCTTCAAGTGGACTCTTGTGATGATTGGGTTTAAGCAAGATTTTTAACATTGTATACTTAATGATATAAAAATCCCTTGGCTTTACTTTTGTTACATCACTCCAAATCAGAGATGCATTTCCTTCCATCCATATTCACATCAGGTTGAAAGACTTATTTTTATCTTCTCCCATTTGCATTTGTATATGTGAACATTTATTAATATATGCACACATTTCCCACTTTGAAGCATGTTACTGCATATGTATTTTTGACCAAAGCATGATTGTAATCATTTTTAGCTCTTCACATATTAAAATGCATGTATTGTATTGTGTGCACTAATGTCTCTCTCAGACACCCTGTAAGTCTCACATAAGTGTGAATTCTCAAGATGACTTGTGTTTCTTCTTGCAGTGAATCTTGGCAGTTGCGAAAAGGCAACTTTCATCATGATTGTCAAAACTAATGAAATTCTTTTCCATCTTGATCTATAATTAATATTTCATGTTCTGGGAATCCTTTACATGTTAACATTATCAGCCAAGGAACCCTTCTGCACTATACAGGTTTCTGTGTCATGTTGTAAGGTGTATGGTCAGTTTAGGTGGAGTGCAGGCCATACTTTATGAGACAAATAATTTCCCTGTGGAAACTACTTGTGTCCCTTAGGGTGTGTCCAAAGCCCGCTGTTGCTGCACACCAGTGGATTTCATAGCCAAGCTGAGAATTGAACTCTGGTGTAGAGATGTGGTCCAGCATTCAAACCACTATGCCATGCTGGCTCCCAGTGTTTGTGAGACATGACTGATATTAGCTGAAGAATGGCTGAAATGTCTGAAGGAAACCTTGTACTCAACCATTTTTAGAGGGTAAATAATTCAGTACTAAAGTGAAAATCACCCATGACATTATATTTCTAATTTTTATATATGGTTGTGAAAGCTGGACAGTGAAGAAAGTTAACACAAGGAAAATAAGCTAATTTGAAATGATGTGCCAGATGAGAGGTCTACAGATATCAAGGACTACTAAAAAGACAAACAAAAAAAAGGATTGTTGTTGTTGTGTGGCTTCAAGTTGTTTCCAACTTATGGTGACCCTAATGCAACCCTATTATAAGGTTTTCTTGGCAAGATTTGATCAGAATGGGTTTGTCTTATCCTTCTTCTGAGATTGAGAGGATGCAGCTTGCCCAAGATCACCCTTTGGGTTTCTGTAGTTGAGTGTGGTCTCCCAGTCTTAGCTCAGTGCTCAAACTACTACATCATGACATCTCTTATAGCAGAGCAAACCTAAACTTTGTAAATTTGACTACATGGACGCTGTCATACTTGGGACATTTCAAGAGATGATGGGACTAATTGGAAATAAAATGATAAAGTGAAAAGTCACACTACAAAGGGATTGACTTTGTAGCAATATGACACACATTTTTAATGAATTTTCAAGGACTGAACATGGAAGATGGATTTCCAGCCAATAAATGAGATTTTTGTGATAGCAGATATTAATATATTACAGAAATATAGCAACCAGTAATTGGCATTATATTAGATAGGTAGCAAGCTAGATAATTTATGGGTATTAATATATAAACATGCCTGTATTGTATTAAATATAGTGTTATAATTATATTGTTAATTTTGAGGGATTGGGTGGCAAGCTTGAATTCTAAAGAAAGAATAAATGAAAGTTGTTGTTGTTTTTTTTTTTAAAAAAAACATTTTTGAAGAAATTGCAGATATTTTAGGAAGCAGCCATGAGTAATGATGAAGGAATTTTTCCTTGTCAACTTGCATATATAAAACTAGAAAGTTTGCTGCAAATTTTGAATCCTATGATTAAATCCTGTGATACTGTATTTGCTGACATGATGCCAAGAACATTTTTCTCCCAATATTTATATTCCTGTACCTGATGTAGTGACTGACTACTGTCATTGTCTACAGGAAAACTGGGTTTTACAATTTTATCTCTCCTCATAATTTAACTGTCATTGACAGGGTGTGTATGCTCTTGCAGGAAAAAGGGTACTAAAATTAGCTGATTTGGGTAAGTGAAGATGTTGCAAAGCTGGCGAGGGACACACACAGCATGACACAGAGTTGTTTCAACCTAACAAGGAGGGGGGAAAAGATAGATAAAACATGAAGTAAAGTATCAAGGCCTACTGCAAGGGTGGGAAAGTGCAGACCCTCCAAGTCTGCTTTTGAGATATTCCAACTATCAAGACTCCTCAGTATGGTAATTTTTCTGGACCCCAAGAACAGTGAATTGACTCATACAAAAGTCTCCAAGAATGCAAACTCATCTTTTACATAGATTTCAGGACCCCCTGTACTATTTAATATTTTAAAAAACACTAGTTTTTCAAAATTAGGAGTGGACTTCTCGTCCCTTTCTGATTTGTCTTCCCTCCACCCCCATATCTGGGCATTTTGATAAGTTCCAGGAGCAGAAATATTGGCCACTGGACCTGCTGCAGTTGCCCAGCTATGGCTTACTAGCTGAATGTTAATAGGCTTGCACATAAGAGCAGGAAAGAAAAAGCAGGGAATCCCATTTCCACTTAAGAGGAAATGGACAAGCAGAGTTGCTTGTGACATTCATACCACAGAGACTGGAGATGTCTTTGTACACTCCATAGAGGCAAGGGGGGAGACTGCAAAGTAGGGAATGCATTAACCTGTCTCCTCTCTCTTCTCTATGTCTCTTCTTTCTTTCTTGGATTTGCCTGCCATGTTCAAGAAGACTAGTGGAAGGAGGTGGTTTTGAAGAACATAGTTCTCTGGCTGTCTCTTGCTTTTTCCTAAGAATGTCAGAGAAGCCTGTCTACACATATGTGTGAAGCAGATGGCACAATCCATTCTGGATTCACCAATCAGCTCTGGAATTTTTATTTTATTTGATGTTGTTGTAGCACTTTACTATGTATTTTTCTGCTGTGCATAGCACTATGTATTTTTAGGTCACGCATAGCACTTTGCTTTGTAATGTGTCCTTTTTTTAAATACACATAGCATTTTACTATTTATTTACTGTACATATCATTTTCTTATGTACACATGCCTCTTGTGAGGGGTTTGCAATATGAGTGTCAGTGGAAAGGCAACAGGGAGAGGGAAAGGAAAAGGTAGGGGAAGATGGAATAGATAGCAATCTGTAAGAAGGGATGAGTCATTCCCGATTTTCTTTAAAAAAAACATTTTCTAGACTAAATTTTAGAAACAAATAAATGCACCTCACTGTATATTAGTAAACTGATAAAGTATAAAGTACACGGATGAAAAGATGAATGGAGCTGGGAGTGGTTTTACAAAAATCCTAAAATGGTGCAATCACCGTTTTCTGTTTGTAAGTACAGTACCTAGTGAGAAACTGCCCACACATTTATACTGGAAACCACAAACATGATGTGTATGAAAACACTTGATCTAACACATTTTGCAGTGTTTTAACATTTGGCTAACAACTCTCCCACCTTCTCACATTTCTGTTTCACTTCTCCACTTTCAGAGTCTTCCAAGTCATGTCAGTTCAACTCTTTCTCTTTACACATTAAAAAATTCTGTTTATTCACTTCTTAGGTTGTTCACCTGTTAATATCCTTGGCTATTGTTCAGCCTTGATGTCTACTTAGAAGCCAGTGTGGTCTAGTGGTTTGAGTGTTGAGCTAGGATATTGGAAGACCAGGGTTTGAATCCCTGCTTGGCTATGGAAACCCACTGACTGACCTTGGACAAGTCATACTCTCTCAGCCTCAGAGGAAGGCAAGACAAATCTTGCTAAGAAAACCCTATTATAGGGTCGCCATAAGTTGGAAACTACTTGAAGGCACATAACAACAACAATTGTTTAACTTAATAATGCCCCATATCCAGAAATATTACATCCCTTTTCTTTTGAAGGATGATGCTCTAGCAGTTAAGCAAGAACCAAACTTTTATCTTTTCCAGCAGTTCGAAAGCATGCAAATACAAGTAGATAAATAGGTACCACTTTGGTAGGAAGGTAACAGCATTCGGTGCAGTCATGCTGGCCACATGACGACTGGAATTGTCTTCAGACAACACTGACTCTTTGGCTTAGTAACAGAGATGAGCACCATCCCTTATATTCAGACACGACTACTCAATTTTGTTTAAGGGGAAACCTTTACTGTGTATTTATCAAAGGAAATGTTTCTCCCCAAAGCTAAAATGTTAAGACAGAAAAGTTGGTAAGGACCCTAAATGGGGAAAGATGAAGACAATCGTAT